CCAGAAATCGAGCCCTTTACCTCATCAAGTTTTTCCTTCAGATACTGATTCTTCACTTGTCGCATCTCCCTTTGCACAGCGTGTATTTCATTTTCCTCCTGTGGCTCAAGCGCTCGTGATTTTTTTTTGTTGGGTTAGTGGACCAGAGATATTAGCTGATGCTGCATACTCTAAGGCTGCTGTTTGGCTCGGCTTTATTAGTCCCATGCCTCCCATTCCATTCTCACTGGCAGCGCCTGCAGCTCACATTCAGCTTGTGTACAATAATTGTGACCTGTAATGGACGGTGTTAGGGCATCAGCTATTGCCCTCTCCAGAGGTGCAAGTGGATCTTCTATATCAGGCAGAGTTCTGAGAAAGTACGTCCAGCGGTGCTTTAATCCAAAAGTGAACGCTGCGTAGCAAACCTGGGGCTGCGACAGAGCAAGGTCAGCCAATTTTGTCACCTGCCCCACCCATTCTTCGACTTTACCGTTAACGTACTGCTCAAGATAGGACCTGGAACCCAGCGCCGCACTCTGATGCTTCCGTACTTCTGTGGTGATGTTAATTGCTGTTTCTTCAAAGATGCTCTTAGCGGTCTCCTCCTTATCAACAAGCCGGCGTTTCCAGCATTAGGATAGCATCCTAAGTCCGGTCCAGCCATAGTCAGCTCGTCCCACCACACCCTGATGTTCTGTAGTGATCCACACCCTGTCGCATCACCTGCAAACCAGCATTGTTTGGCTTGATTCGCTGCCTGTAGACGAGAAATGAGCGGCTGTAGACTGAGGGCATACATACACATTGCTAAGGGATCGCCTTGCGTAGTACCCTCCGCAGAAATGAGCTCTTTAACCCCCGTTACAAATAGTCGTGCTTGATCTTGGTAGGTATTGATCGCAAATGTAGCTAACGCTGGACAAAGAACCCTAATATTATGAAGGACGGGGACTCGGTTTAGTGTAATGAAGGCGTTTGACGCATCCACCAGCAGCACTGCATCGGTTTCCTGGTGCTGGAATAAACTGTTCATTGCGTGCACTGTTGCCTCACTCCGGGATTTGTGTCCAGCGCAAACCTGAAGCGAGCCACTCGACTCTAGTATACCTTGTTTCGTCACCTTTGTCACGCACTTTCCAATAATTCTTCTAATTACTTCGCCCACTCCTATTGACTGACCGTTACACCTATTCAGCAGGATAAGACGACTCGTTAGAATCGGCTGAATAGTTGCGGAGTCAATGTATTCTGTACACAATCGGCGGGTCAGAGTTGCGAGAGCGTCGCACAAATTAGGGCCAGACTTCTTGAATGACTTGCTAGCAAAGGATCCTTTGAAAAACAATTGCATCTACATTCCAGGGACCTCCAGTGCCTTTAGTTCTTAGTGCCGCTTCTCTAATCATCTCGCCGGTGATCTCATTATAAGCTGGCTCCTGCACCACCTCAACTGTACCAGTTATAGGTTTCTAAATTATTATTATTTGTAGAGTAAAGCAGTTTACCACCATGAACAATGTAATTGCAATGATTCAAAGCTTGCAAATTAAGAGATACTGACTTAGAGAAGCGATTTTGCGTTCAAATCTTTGTTCAATATAACATCCAACCTGCGCTCTCGGCATTTATTTCTCATATGATAACATTAAACATGCAGACAAACTAAATTTTTGAGGGAAATATTAACAACCTAGAAAAAATCTCATTGGCTGGAAACCGAGAGAGCGAACTCACTCTACTGGGAAGAATAAACATTGATAAAACTTTAGTTTTGTCTAAGTTTATTTACAGTGCATCTTTACTCACTATCAACAGGCATTTTGTGAAAGAAATCGACAGGATATCCAACAATCTTATATGGGAAGGTAAACCAGCAAAAGTGGAAAGAAGTCCCGTTATTAGTAAAATAAAAAAAAATAAAAAAAACATGGAGGACTTAAAATGCTAGACTTCGGGATTATGCGCAAAGCGCTCAAAGTCGCGTGGACCGATCGGTTAATTAATAAGCGCTACTCGCTTAGTAGAATATAGCATTCAATCCTCAACCTTATCACAAACAATGTCATCTTTGAGATCATCAAAGTTAATGTGACCCCACCCGTCAGAGCTGACATCAATGAGCCTGACTCGAGCATGTTTACCAATAAAGTCTTGGACGTCCCAGCTGCTAAGATTCATTGTCTCCAGGCAGTTTCCAGTCTCGTTTCTCACAACCTAAAATAGAAACAGAGATGAATTTCCAGGTCACAAGGAAAGTAATCAAATTGAAATCTACTTGATCAGTATTTAATTTTGATGACCGTTCATAATTCTTGAGTACATCAATCAATCAATCAATCAATCAATCAATCAATC